ATATGCCATTGAGCAAATGCTTAAGGGGAAAAGGGAGAACATTTGAAAGTTGCTCCCGATCAAGCACCGTTAGAAAAAAACGTTCATTTAGAGTTAGAAACAGCTCTCTAGTATTGCTGGCGAGAAACCAGGTCATCTACTAAAAAACGCTTGGAACCGCCGATTTTGTTTTTTAGGGGGGAACATTGTTTTGGCAGTTTCACCCCCTAAGCGGAAACCCTCTATCGGGGGTGAGACTCCCCAGTTATATCTTAAACGGAAATATTGGTCGAATGATATGTTATTTTGAAGGTATTTTTACCTAGATAATAACCCCCGAGTTTTACATTGCTACTATCTATGTAGCCCATACAGTGGCTCACCAAAAGTACAAAACCGGTCTAACATAATTTTTACATTGTTATTAAAAAAAAAAAAGAATTATTTGTAACAATTTTACTTTTATTCCTGTGGCTCTCAATTATTCTTATCAGATGACATTCTTTGGTCGCCGTAAAGTAGTAAGGTTTAGTTTATTTCGTTGTAGAGTCGGCATAAAAGTGGCATATTAGTGATAATGGTTTATTCTATTGCTAAGAGGGTGCAAATAATTTCACTTTTTTTGCGAACAATAAATGTGCTAATAGAACTGCCTAACTGTTTAACAATCAACATCAAAATCGACAAGTCCATCGAAACTACATTTTGGAAAACGGGGTCAGTAGCTAACAAATAACGTGAAATGGAAAATTCTGTAGTAAATGAAGCTACAGAGGTAGCGATTTTAGGACATGTTGTTAATGAACCCATATTGAGTACAAGACAGTTGTCGATAACATCTGGTATTAAGAGACGTAGTATTCAGAAGATATTGAAAGTTTTATTCCTACAAAATACATCTGGTAAAATAACTTAATGAAGACGTTTTTGATAGACGATTACAATTTTGTGAAATTATGACTGAACGGGTCTTAAATGATCAGTAATTTCTTTTCAACGTGTGTTACTCAGACAATGCACTTTTTTCCTAAATGGGTAAATCGTCACAACTGTCGTTATTGGTCCGATTCAAATCCCAGAATATTTCATGAAGTACCATACGCAACATCCGGAAAAACTGAATATTTGGGCTATATTTTTTGGTAACCGTATAATGGGCCCCCTTTTTACCAGAAACTTTAACTGCAGAAATGTATCTGGAATTATTAGAAAACGCTATTTATCTGGCATTACTAGAGTTGATAGAAAATGACGATCAGTACATAGCAAACAACTTAATATTCCACCATGACGGTGCACTACTGTTCGTCAGTGTTTGGATCAAACGTTTCCAGGATCGAAAGAAGAGGAAGTATTGAGTAGCCCCCACAGTCTCTGGATCTAAGCCCGTTGGATTTTTTATGGGGCCACTTAAAAACTAAAATGTATGCCACCCAGCCAACATCACTGGAAAATCTGCGACAACGGATAATTGATGAATGTCATCAAATCACCCCATAGATGCTTCAAAATGTCCGATAGCATTTTGAACAAAACATCTATTATTGCATGGAGGCCCAGAATAAGCATTTCTAGCATTTACTCGATTAACTGGTAGGCTTTTACAGAAAATAAAAATCGTTAAAAGATAATGGCTAGGAAGACAGTGGCGATTTAAAACTTGGGGGGTTATAATCTATGTAAAACTACCTTCAAAATACCAGTGGTGGCTGCACCGATGATATAAGGTTGCCAGATATCCCGTTTTAGGTGAGAGCCTCCAGCCTATCCAGCAATTGCCATTTGACAATACCTTTTTTTTTTGATAAAAATTTTCATAAACTTAACTTTAAAATAGCTTTTTAAAAAATCGGTGGTGTCTTTAAGTGAGTTGTGGAGGGTGGGGGGGATAGCCCCCATTTTCCGCATAGAAGCCGGGCCCCAAAGCGATTTTTGAATTCCGGCGCCTATGGTTTTTAGGATAAAATATGATTAAAAATAAGTGATCCTTATAAAAAAAATCGATAAATAATAGCAATACACTAAATATTCATCGTTAATAGTGTAATGAACCGAAAATGTTGGTTAAATTTTAATAAAATGACCTAAAACCAATTCAAGCATTTGTTAAAGGGAAAAAAATGATAAGCTCTGGATAAGCTGTTGTCGCTAAGTTTAAGTGATAAGTTTTCATGTGAAAGGTCCGGGGTTTAAATTTTGATTAAACCCAATTTTTTTGGTTTTTTCAAGTTTATTTTATTAATTGGCAAAATCCAGAAATTCAAGTCATTGTGTTAATAATTTTTATAAATAGTTACAAAAATAAATGTAATATTCTCTAATCAATCCCTTGTTTATTATTGTTCTTGAAATTATAGGTGTTTGTTTTTGGAAATAATATTTGTGTGTCAATCATACCTATTTCTATTTCTACAAAAAAATACAGGCATAATATAATTTAATATAAACTGGCATCAATGGTTTCTATCCATTCAACGCTTTCACCTCGCTTTCGCTAGCGAAAACTAGTAGCACTTACACCGGATGGTTTCCAAGATATGTAACGGTTCTCAGCTCTGATTAGGTTCATTGTAAACTAACTCCTTAACCTCCCTACTGTGAATAGGTTATGGCTAAGATGCCGGTATGCCACGGTTCTTAAGTAAGATTTTGAACCTTCACCAATCAGGTCTTACCTTGCAGTTTTTGTTATCCTAGCTTTCTAAAGCAAACTCCTCTTCTTGGGCGTGCAAGCACCGACTGAGAAGGGTATGGACTGTATTTAAGGGCTGGTATTTGAATTTGCCGGGAAGGTTTTTGAGTCAGTACCGAACTACAATTTCAACACGGGGCATGTGTACTTTGCTATAGTCGAAGCGATACTATTATGTCCGGTCAGGGTTGCCAACTTTTCAAATTCCATTTACCGTACCGCGCAATTTGAATTACCTTACACCTTTACATCTTTGATTTTGTACAAAAACTATATTGTGTAAATATCTTTTTGTCGGGCTTCTAAAAAAAAGTCCTTATCATATTTTAATCAACCTCTAGTCCAGGCTTGCACAACTCAAATTTTCAAACGGCCAGTTTGAAAAACCGTAAGTGGACGAGGGCCAATTGAAGTCTCAGCATATAGAGGTCTGTTCAGATTCTAAAAAAAAATTTCCTTGCGTTATAATTCTACCCAAAAAAAGGTCGTCAGCTTATGATGTATAATTCCTGCTTCTAAAAAAAAGTCATCAGCCTCAATGCAAAAGTTTGTTACTGAACAACGCATAGTTTGACGTAGGCGGGCCAAACTGGTCAACGGCCAACGATGAACGGTGGAATCGGCCCTTACACAACTCAAAGTCTTTGCTAATTCTGTTCAAAATACCGTACTTTTTACGTAAATACTTTTTATGTACGGTAATGACTTTGGACCGTACACCGTACATTAATCGAAATTATCGTACAAGTACAGTAATTACCGTACGATTGGCAACCCTGTGTCCGGTTCAAACGACATATCGTTCTTAACGGCGTGGCCTGGGACCACCCAACTAATAATGCAGTACCCATTTGGCGAAATATAATTAATAAAACTAATGAGAATAAAAGTGAAATATTATCATTCATACTGTACAAAACAACTAAAGATTCCTACAGGTAATGTTTTGTATGCCACATATAAACATTATTATTAAATTGATACCATCTTTCATAATACTAAGCATGGCAGTATGAACAATTCAAATCTTTTTTTTTAACTTTTTTGAGTGAAAACTCCATAGTTTCCTATTTTAATGTCAAAACGAGACAGATAAAAAAAATATAGGAAAAATGTCCATAACCCTCCCCCTAATGAGACGCTTATGATCGTAATATAAAAATTGCCCCTAATGAGACGCTTATGATCGCAATATATAAATTGTTCCTGCTGCTTTTAATTGGACATAAAACACATAGTATTCGTACCAAGTTTGATCTTTTAAAATGGCGAGATTAAAGAAAAAAAATAGATAACTTTGTTGACCACTAGCAGGCAAATGATGCAAGTTGATATGTATGTATATTTGGTTAAATCAACTGATTTTGAACCTATAAATCTGAGGTAGCTCCATCTACACGCGATTTCTGGACACGTTGTATATGTAGTACCAACAATTTGTCCTTGGTAAAAACAATACAATGAGCAAGCGCAGTTGCTGGGTTATAAATTTTAAAAACAGTAACAAAAAGATCGGTTTAAATAATATAAATTTTCGATAGCAAAATGGAAATTAAATCAAAAAATAAATGGATAGCTGTACAATAAGAAAAAAGTACCTTTACTTTTGTAATAATACTACTAATTCTGGAAATAATAGGTATCAGAAAATAGAAAGGTTTTAAATAAACAATTTTACCATGTTCTCCAACAACGTCCCTTAAATATTAAATGTTCAGCAAGGATTAGATTTCAGCCTTTGATTATTGTATGTGGTTGGAATGCAATTTTGTGAAACCAGTTTTAATAATTAATTCTGTTTTCTTTCGAATTAAAAATGAAGAAAATATAAATTACAATCGCAAATATACAAATTATTTTTCTTTTGTTGATACATTTTGATTCCACGTTATTATTTAATGGTAATTTTTTTATTTTGACAATATTTATTCTTTTCTTCAATGTCAACTTATTAGGGTTAGGCAACTTCTCATACATTTTCTCGTAAATACTGTTGTCAGCCTATGCTTTATTATTTTTTTTTATTATTATACTTTATTTAGCTAAAGCAATGAAAATATATAATAATAATAAAATAATGTTTTCACTTGTTTTACAAATCCATATACTTTTATTAAAACCAACATATATATTTTTTAATTACGAATTCTATTAAAAATTGTAATGTCAGTATACGAAAACATAGTCCTTTAGTTCATAAATTAGTTGGCGCTGCTGTCACGCACGGAGCAAATACCTCATATAAATATAATTTTAATCTATATAAAAATTACTTTTTTTAGGTAACAGAAATCCCTAGCTGGAGTTAACGATTTATTTGTATTTTCAGGTGCAACCTCCTCCCCCTCGTGGAAGCATGCATGTGCCTCCGCTCAGTGCGTCCCCAATCAACAACAGAACCAGCCTTTCAGTCCCACAACCGCCACAGAGGTCTTCTATGGGCAGACCAACAAGCGGTTTTCCTCCTGGAGTCAAGGATTTATCACCATCAGTTACAATCACGCCAGCACCGCCACAACCAATTAAGGTACAATTAAAAATATTTATTTTATTTAATAATTATTATAGTCAGCCATTGTCTCAATATAGTTAAGATGTAAGTAAGATATTTATTTTAAGTGAAAATAGGAATTTTTCTACTACACAAATTTTAACAATGCAATTACAAAACGTCTTATGGTCTCATAAAAAAATTTGAGTCGATTTCGTAAAAAAAAATATTTCATTTGGAATTTTTTAAATATTCTTATAACTGGAAAAACTAAAGTTAAAAAAGGAAATAGGCAATTTTTAATATTTCAAATATGATTTTTTTTTAGTTATGGTTGTGTGCCAGTTTATTTGCCTCTTAAATACGCAACTTTTGCTCATTTAACTGCATAATTTCTAGGTAGTCCCTTTTAATTAAAAAAAAAATCCCAATATATCATTTGTGACAATTCTGTATATAATTACGTATTGTGAAGATAACATAACTTCAGAATGCTTCTTAATAAACAATTTTTATTCCCATTACCAATTTAAAACAATCTGATATTAAATTTATTATAAATAATGTATGAATAAATTTTGTTGTAATATTATTATCTTGGCTGCTATATTTTTAAATACTTCACAATAAATCAGATAATTTATGTTTGTAATTACTTACATAAATGTAATTTTCTGTTGTGCTGCTAGACTGTTAGTGGAGTAGAAAATAAAGGGTTAGTGCATGGCGGATCTATCCAGACTAACCTAATTCAAGAGGTAAAGTTGAAAAAATATTACATAGACTTTCTTTTCATGCACAAATAAATTATTATTCTTTAAATTTTTTTAAAAAATTGTATGAAACGTGATTGAGTAAAAATAGTAAAACAATTCAACATTCATTATTGTTTTTTTTTTTTTTTTTTGAAAATGTTAAATTATAATCCCTAGTCCCCTTACGAAATTAAAAAGTCGCCAAAGTAATTTTTTTAATTTTATATTTTTAAGAAAATAATATCTAGCCGACCGTCATATTAATATAAATGTTTTAAAGTACGAATTTTAACTATTAAAAGTAATTATACAGAGTGAGCCACTGAAAACAGTCGTCCATACTAATATTTCGAAGTAATAATTATTATATTTTTAAAAAAGATTTTTAATCCAAGAATGACATTTTTCGATATAGAAGTTTTCATTAATGCGTAATTGTTTAATATTTCAATTTGTGTTATAGACACGTAAACAAGTTTCAAATAAAAATTATATGAATTTAAAAAATACTCATTTTAAAAATATTTTTCGATATACAGGGTGTTGCGTTTTTGCTTAGCACATAAAAAGGTATATTTTTCAATTGAACACCCTTTATTTTGTTTCAGTTTTAGAATGGTTTGGTAATACTGTATTCAAACCTAGAAGATTTCTTTAAAATGTTGCAGGGTTGTTAAGCAATTAATTTTTTTATGAAATTAGAGAACGACCCCAAAATAAATTATCATAATTTAGATAGATTTGCATTGATTTCAAAATTGTTTAGTATACAGACTTATAAGATATTAGGCTAACGATAGAACTGGTTTATTTTATACAGAGTGTTTTGAAACATGTCTTAAATGTGGCTTATATTAAGTTCAATTTACTCAGTTTTTCAAATGCAACACCCTGTATATTATTTTAGCATAAAATTTCTTATGAATTTACCTATTCAATAATACCAACATGTTCGCCAATAACACATATACCATCAGTACGTAATCGATCTATAGCTATTTTATTATTGGAAATACGAAAAAAAAAAAATAATATAAAAGTTGTATGGCCATATTTCACAATTATTTTTAAATATACAAGGTGGTCCATATATGAGGGGCTGACCAAACCTATACTTTTTAAAGCAAAACACCCCGCCAGTAGTTATACATTGTATTTGATTGTTTTAACATTGTCAAACAATTTTAAATAAGTTCATTTATTTGCTATGTTGTAGATAGTGTTTGCGGGTTCGTCAATAAAACTACTAAAACCTCAGTAACCAATAGGTTTATTAAAACAAGTCGGATTCACCTCTAGCTCTATGTCGTGCTTTTGGCTCCTCCTGTCGGGTATTGCCCGGATGAGGATGTTACTGATGACAGTTGAGTCTGACATGTGTCCATCATAGTTCGTTTGACACTTGACTACATATAACATGATATCCCATTTTTTTTTTTTTATTATTTTAATTAGAGTCAGAAACATCGTTTAGGCCTGTTATTGGCGATGTGGGAAGATTCGTGTGTCTCTGAGTCATTTTCATGTTCAGTAGAATTATCTTTATTATGATCAGATTCAAAGGCACTACTGTCTTCATTATAATTATGCTCAGCAAAACTGATGTTACTAGCAACACTTTCATCAAACATAAACAGAACAGTTTAACTCTAAGAGTAGAAGAAACATAAGGTTCTTGTTCTAGTGGGTCATTAGAAAGGTTAACAAAATCATAAATCATATTATTACTACGTTTATAAAATGAAAGTTGAGTACCTTCTATTTCTTGTATATTCACTATCAAATTCCTCTTTTACAACATATAACCTATCATTAACTACACTTTTAACTTTTCCGTTTTTCCAACCCTTATATTCTTGAATAAAAAAAGTATCACCAATTCCTAATTTTGGTAGGTCTTTAGCGTGTCTATTATAGAACTTAATTTCATTCTCTTGTTTATTTTTTAAAATATTACATACATTACATATTTGTCAGGTAAAGATCTGGTAATAGCAGATGCCCTGTCTAGGTCCTATATTAAAGACTTTGTTGAAGATGACCCTGAAATGACATATATAGTACACTCGTTAAGTAATAACATACCTATGTCTGAAGAAAAAAAGCATCAATTTAAATGTCTCCATTGGCATAACAGTTTTAGGTAGAAAGTAATCATCATATTCCTTCAATAGTTTGTCTAAAGTGTCTTTTTTGTCATCATCAAAGGTGTTGTAAACGTCGACTCCTTGATCTCCCATACAATTTAGTAGGACAACGATTTTTACATCATCAGGAGCACTATTTTTCCCAGATGCTTTCAAGAATATATTGAATTTTTGTTTGTACAACTTCCAATTCTTGGAGTCAAATTCATTTAATGGGCCTGGGGGCCTAAATAAATCCATGTTTTCTTTATATTATAGTAAGTTGATATTTTTATTATATATGTGCTAACGAGCGCATGCTTTTCCCAATTTCTTCTTTCAATGTGCTATCCAGGGCACGATTACCTTTTTTCTTCTTCTCTTCTCCTTTGAAATTCTGTAGACTTTTCTACAATATTATTAGGATCTTCCCTTTCTTGTCTGTATTTGGTTCTACATGCTTTGGCAAAATGCCCTTGTTTCTGGCATGAAGCACAAGTCTTATTGTAAACTGGACACTTCCCAGGGTAATGTTTATACAAGCATTTTTTACATTTTATTTTTTTGTTACCTGTGTATACTGCATTCACCTCTTCTTCTGGATTTAATGTTTTAAGATGTTCTTTGCTTAATATCACTGATTTACAATAGTCCATTATTTTTGTTACTGTCAACTCTGATTCTCGAATAAGCCTTGCTTGTAGTTGTTTATCAAATATTTTATCCATGAACTTTATCCATACATCGTGAAACTCATTAAAACAAAACGCAAAATACTCGGAGAATACAGGCAAAACCCTAGCCAGGAAATCAAAACAACTTTAACAAAGATGTCCAAAAATTAGTAAAATAATTTCAGCAACACACTTGGCTACATATCTGCCAATAAATCAATCAAGAACAAGGAAGAAATTTCTATAATAAAATAAATAAGCTGTCAAAATATAAGGGAATGAGGTCACTATAAAAAGAAATGGTGTATATAATCAGGTCCTGATGTATATGCATAAAGTTTTACACCTATTTTGTAGATATGTTATTCATATTTCTTTGTGTAAAATAATACTATGTTGGTCTGTTTTTTATAAATAAAATTAAAGTGTTAAATAATAACATCTTTTATTATCACATGGTACATTTTCTATTTAAACTACTTTTATTGGCCCACTCTGAATATCAGAAAGTTCTCAAACGAAAGTTAACAAGTTCTAAAACCATATTCTTTTTTATTAATTTAGGTATTTCAGTTCGTTTTTTTTAAATGATATACAATTGAAAAATAACAGCATGGTATAAATTACTTTTTAAGACTACTATTTTTTGATTTAAATTAATAAAAATTGTTGATTTTATTATTATTATTTTTAGGAGAGAAGTAGTAGAGAAGATAATCAAACACCAGCTCAAAGACAAGCTGCTGCCAAATTAGCTCTAAGAAAGCAACTAGAGAAAACGCTGTTACAGGTAGGTGTTTATTTTTAAAGATTTCGTTAAGAATCTGATCCGATTTCATTAAAGTCAAGCAAATATACTAATTTATTTAGACCTTAAAAAATATTTCTTATTTACTTGTAAATAATTTGATACTAACTGTATATATTCTTGAATGCTTATCAAAATATTCTATTTGTTTCAGATACCTCCACCGAAACCGCCTCCTCCGGAAATGCATTTTATACCAAATCCAAGTAATACGGAATTCATCTATCTGGTTGGTTTAGAGCATGTAGTCGACTTTCTTACTAAAGAAACTAAAATACCATTACCTCCGCAACCGTTCACATGTAGTCAATGTCAGTCTGATTTTACTCCCGTTTGGAAATGGGAAACCCATAAAAAGAATAAAGGTAAGTTAAAAAAATAGTTTATTTGTTAAAAACAGTTTATTTATCATTTATTTATAACGTACTAATTCATTTTTTTAAAACTTATTATAACACTATTATAACTCAACAATTCTAATTTATTTATTACAATTTATCTTTTCTAAACAACACTTATATTGAAAATTAACGTCTACCGACAATCTGTTTATTTTATAATTTTTTGCAGTCGGATGTTTCAGTCCAGATCAGCGCGCAATTGTTTCGCGGCGGACCAGCATTTCGAATTTAGATGATAAGGCGTTAGCCGTTCTGCTTTTTTAAAGTTGTTTTATAGTTTTCCCCATGCTAAATGATTGACTAAACGTCTTAGGCTATGATATCAATAAATAGAAATTTAGTTATGGAGATAAACAATTTCCACGAAAAAGTAATTAAAAAAAAATTAATTTCAGTAAGGGACGTACAGCTAATTCCAATTTCAGGATGCGTCATGCTATGAACTTTCGTAAAAATTAAAAACAATATAAATATATCGATTTTCATGATTTACTTTTGTAAGATGTTTAACTATAAGAAAAATATTTCATTTTGTTTATTGACTACTGACAAGGCGCAGTGTACAGTGTGGTATTTTTCTATGTTAATGACATAAATAACAAATCTTCCATAATTCTTATCCTCAAGCCAATTGGCGCCCCCCACCTATGCTGCCACTGATATATTCAATAGAAAGATATTGCAAATTTCTATAACGTCAGCCACTAACAGTGACAACGTAATTGGAGGCAAATAAATTTCGTTCTAAAATAAGAGACTTATTGCAAACCTGAAGTTTTGACATTAGAGTCTTTGGGGTCTATTCTGTAACAATTCCTTTATATTTAACGGCCTTTAAAAATATTTTCTTCTTTACTTCTGTCATTATTTAAACCGATCTTTAAAATACATTAGAGGACTATCTTAAAGAAATCTATTTAAATAATGACAGAAGTAAATTAACGAATACGAAAATATATTTAAGGCCACCAATATTTTTAAAGGCCGTTAAATATAAAGGAATTGTTACAGAATAGACCCCTTTTTCTTTATACATATTTCTAGCCTCCTTTTAAAAAATTTAAATTACAGTTTTTTTTGTTATCTATAGTACATAGTATGAATAAAAGAGGCATTAGAAGGTTTAGATGAGGATAATATTAAATATTTAATATTAAAAAACTTCGAACTGAGATGAATGTCGGCGAGCACACCCGAAAGCTATAAATTTGCCACTATCTGCTGCTTTTAAACATCCACAATTGAGGAAAGGCACAATTTTTAATAAAGTCGATTCTAGAACGTAAACGATCTGCGCATGCTCCGATGTCAAAATAAGAGCCGCACTAATAGTGACTGACCTTAAGTGAACTTGCATTATTATTATTTATTATTATTATTATTGTCAAGAACAGGTAAGCGACATAGTCAATGAAGAGCAGCTTCATTGACTATTGGAAAGAGCAGCTTTTAGTTAGTGACAAAAATTATTCTAAATTACTACATGACAGTTAAATCTTAATATACTATAAACTTTAATGGTTAAAATTATTTCTTCCTTCTTTGAGTTCTTTATCCACTCTCGCCTTGAACTGGTTTATATTCTGGGGTGAGGCCGTATGTTCCTGAAGATCATTCCACAGATATTCAGTTGTGTTTGTAATGTTATCACAGGTGTAATATCCGCAGGTCCACTTGTAAGTTTCTATCATGATGGTGGATGAGGTTTTATGATGGTGGGTGAGGTTTTCCGGGTTTTCTCACCTGTAAGTCAAATGGCACCATCAATCATCTTTAAGTCGCCCCGGAGCGACACGGCAAATAATAATAATAGCCGTCCCTTTCCCCGCACAAGCTCGGCTTTTGGAGAGTATTATTATTATTAAGTCTCCTTTAGTTCTTCTAAGCTTTAAAGTTGAAAGTTGTTTGGTTAGCCGATCGCAATACTCATTTTTTTGTAGGATTGATGGTATTTTGGTGACTCTCCTTTGTACTCTTTCCGGAGTTCAATGTCTTTAACGTACATTTTGAGGTTCATATCTTTGAAGTGGTCTTTAAAAGCTCTAAATGAGACTTTACTTTTTTTCCCTATATTAGCAATATGGGTTTCCAATTTTAAGTCTTTAGATATGATTACACCAAGATCCTTTTGTGTTTCGACTGCAGTTATTGCGTTTGTATCTATGGTGTACTCTGTGTGTGAGGATTATTTGGACCAATGTGCAATACTGTACACTTATTTATGTTAAGTGGTAGTAGCCATTGCTGGGGACCAGATTCCTATTCGTCTTGTTTCATTTTGTGAGAGCTTTCCAGTGGCTTGCAGTAGATCTTTCGGTCATCTGCATAAAAGTTTGCTTTAGACTCGATGATTTTGCATAAATCGCTGGTGTATAAAATAAATTATAGGGTACCCAAGACCGAACCTTGTAGTACTCAATTTTCTACTACATGGTTGTTTGACAGCTGTCCATTTATTCTTACGCAAAATTGCCGGTTGAATAAGAAACTCTTAACCCACAATAATAGATTGCCTCTTATTCCAAAGTGTTACAGTTTTCTAAGCAGCCTTCCATGTGGAACTTTATCAGAAGTTTTCTCATAATCAATATATATCACATCAATTGACTAGTTGTTGTCATTCCAAGCTCTCCACTGCTTAATTTCATTTAGAAGATTTGTGACAACAGATCTTTTGGATGCAAATCCATGCTGATGGCTTGGTAAAACTCTGTGTTCCTTCCATTATAAACTCGATTACTTCTTTTGAAATAATCTTTTCCATTGCTTTACCGATACAGCTTGTAAGACTGACTGGACGGTAGTTAATGGGATTCTTTTTGTCGCCATATATGTATATAGGAGTGAGTGATTATAGTCTGTTTCCAGTCCATTGGCAGTTCCTGTTTTTGCATAGAGTCGTTCATAACTATCGTGAGGAGATTAAGAAGGCTATTAGAATATTTTTTAAGAAAAAACAGGAGGGTTTTCATCTATTCCAGAACTTGAATCTTGTTTAAGACTATCTATTGAAAATTTCACTTTTCCTGAGGTAAATTCTATGTTTACTATGCTATTCTCAACTCTTTCTGTTGCTGTTATTTGCGGTGATTCTGTATCAGGTTCTGTTGTTCTGTTGCATTGAACTGTTCTGCAAATATTTTTGCTATCTCGGTTGGTTCTGTGATTGCTAAATTTATCGTTTGGTTTTTTAACGTGTTCTAAGTGCTGTTTGTAATCAGTATTCTTTTTTACTTAGGAGTAAAATTTATTTTTGTCACTTTTTAATCTCTAATATCTTTGCCCTATTTGTGATATTTTAAAATTGTAATTTGTAACTTAAATGGGCTTGCAATAAATAAATATATTCTTTGTGAATATAATGATTACATTTTTTTCAGCAATGAAAACGGTGATATGCGAGCAATGTGTGACCAATAACGTGAAGAAGGCTTTAAAAGCTGAACACACAAACAGGTTGAAGACTGCATTCGTTAAGGCGCTACAACAAGAACAAGAAATCGAACAGCGACTAGCACAAGTGAGTATGTTTCGTAACAAAACAAAAAACTATTTTGCTAATTTTGACATATAAAGTGTTATTTTTTGTAATCGAAACAAGTGTCAAAATGATCTACTTTATACAATCAATTGCATAATGTTAAACATTATGAATGTGGTTTCGAAAAAATTCATTGTTACCAGTTAAGAAAATAAAACAAATAAAAATAAACCTTTTTTGGTTTTAAAATCAATAATATACATTAATATTGAAAGTTTATATCAAAGAAGGGCAGTTTGATTTATAAAAATAGAATTTGGTTAAACTTACAACATAGTAATAATGTTGTTTTGGTCCTTATTATCCATTCTAAATCAGCACACAATAATTAAAACACATTAACACGACAAAATAACCAACTTTCTTTAAATCTAAACAACTTTAACAAACAATATATACACACTACAGAAAGTTGTTAAGAATAAATTAATATTATTTTCTATTTGTCAATAAAAGAATGAAGTTAATCATATGCAACTAACAATACAAGAAAATAGTAATATAGGTTGCCTAAATGTCCATAATTTTTTATCAATTATGGACATCTAGTCAAAATTAGAAAAAAATATTTGTTCTAATTTTGACATATGTAGTGACATATTTTGTAATCGCAGTGACAAAACGATCTACTTTATGAAAGAAGAACATTATGCAACTGATTACGAAAAGTTGTTTAGTTATGAAATGAAAATAAATAAAAATGCCTTTTTGGTTTTTAAATCGAAAATCGAAAAAACCAATAATCGAAAAATTGAAAAACAGGCAATGCATCACATCAAATTTGACAATTGAACATTACTTTTAACAACAAGAAAGAAAACAAAACATAAAGGCTGTAAATCGCGTTTTATTTTTTAAATAATTGGTTATTGAAAACTACCCGGAAATGTTGAGGGTAAAATTTTGACGTACTCCTTTAAGGATAACGGGTAAAAACGTTTTTTTTTTTCAAATTTCTCGCGGGTTATGTCAAAAATCAGATCGGCAACACTGCACATGTCCCTAATTTTTATTATTACTATTAAAAAAAAAAAAAAAAAATCCGTCGTAGGGAGGGCAATCAAATTCAATAATTTTCTGAAATATTTGATTGGAAGTACCTACAAAAGAATGATGAAATCATTTTTTAAACAAGCACAATTTTATAAATAATAAAGTCAAAATTAGAAAAAATCTTTTATGTAACAAGTTACATAAATAGCTAGTATGTAACACGAAATGCCGTTTTATGTAACTCGTTCATGTTGCAGGACCTCGCTCTGCTCGTCCCGCAAATATTCACTTGTTACATAAAATGAGGTATTTCGCAATTGGTTTCATAAATAGCTAATTCACTTTTAGTTAGTAACACAAATAATATACATGCAATATTTTCCTTTTCAGAACGGAGTATTTACTTCAAGCAGTCCGGCTCCTTCGCCGGTCACCCCGGAAGCACTTCCAAAAGCTGCCACGCCTACACCGGCTCCGAGGCATGCGCCTACACCGCCGGCACAAGCTCCTCCTCCCCCTCCTCAACCGACCCCTCCGCCTCCACGGTCTTCACATCCGTCGAGTCATTCTTCTTCCTCGTCCGTAGCCCAGGATAAGTACACACAACAGCAGAGCGCAGCTGCCATGCAGGCTTTGCATCAGCAGATTTTAAGAAGTAAGTTTTTAAATATTTTTTCTTAGATTTTTATATGAAATTAAATATTAAATATTTATTAATAATAACAAATATTTTTAGGCTTATCTGCGGGCGGTCCACCGGGCGCAGCTCACATGTTGCAGTTCTCGCCGCTCTTCTACCCGTATCAGTTAGCGATGGCACAGGCCGCCGCGACCGGAAAGAATTCCGCAGCCGGCAATTTGGCGGACATCCAAAGGGCCGCCGATATGCAACGTCAGTACCTCCTCGACATGATACCGCCTCCGACGCATCAGCAGCAGCAACGCCACAATTGGAAGACATGATCTGAAAGGAAGCTCGAGTAAAGCTTAGATCTATCCGTTAATTCGATCACAGGACTTGTAATTATAGTTGTCTCACAACACAGTAATATGGAATATATATAAATATATATATTTTTATCCTGTTTAAAATGCCCTCTTCAATTGAGTAATTTTTAATAATTTGTACCTTGTATTCATTGCAAAGCAATAGTTTTGATTATTTAATAATTAATTGTATGATGTAGCCTTCAAAAAAATGGGTCAAATGATTTTGATAAAACTGCAGTCTTTTAACTGTTATACGAAGTTTTGGGAGTGCTTCAATTACGAATCCAAAAAACGATCAAAAATTCACGAAATACCATATAATTATACTATGATGGTCAAGTTAATTATCATATTTTAGATCCAGCGTAATTGTGGGAAGCAAGTCTCACTTTGTGTATATGCTTTAAGCAATTAAACTTATTTAAATTTAATGTCGTCAGTTTCATTTTGTAATTGTTGCAACCGTATAACATCCCGTTTTGTCAACTTCTAACCAAAATAGCTAATTTATTTAATTTCCCAAAGATTTAGTACTTCGTTATAAACGCAATCATTGATTCGACTGACTTAATTATTAATCCAACTAATCATGAATTATGTGACAATAAGGGGTGATATGATTGTTTTAAAGCCTTATTTATGACGTTGTTGATAATTATGTAAAGTTTTGTCACTGGTAATTTTAAAATGGAAATTAGAATATGGGTACAATATTTTGAGATGTAGAAATGAAGAACTAAAAAAAAAATAATGAAAAAAGATTGTTGCAGTACGATAAGATTAAGATGGCAGAATTGGATGCGCATTGGCAAATCTAAAAATGGGAGAAGTTATCTCAGTTAATGGCTGAACTTCGATACCGTGAACAGTGATATATTTTTGTTAACTGAGATAATTTCTCCCATTTTTAGATTTGCCAGTGTGCATCTAATTCTGACTTGGTTATCTCAATCTTGTACTGTACATTGTGGTTCCTAATAATTTTGTTTATTTGTTGCAAGTACTATATACATTCTTTATGATGTTGAAAAAAGTACTCATTTTCATTGATTTACTTTGTAAATTCGAATGTTTAGTTTGCATCTATTATTTGTTTTTTTTTTTCAATTTACAGTTAATGACGCTACTTATTGTGTCTGGTGGAAATGGATTTTTTTTTTATTTCAAATGAAGGGGACATAAAATTCAATACAATTCTTTGTGTATTGTTTACTGCATCAAAGTATATAACCTAACTTAACACTGCACATTTTACTTTCAAAATTATATATTAAAAACAAAAAAGGGCATATTTTGAATGTGTGAAACAACAAATAATAATGTTTTGTCAAAGCGTAACTTATTACTTAAAACGGTTATTATAATAATTTCTATTATGAACATGCAGTACCCACGTGATGGCTGTCTACAATTTCTTAAAGTTGTATTAACAGTGAAAATATCTTCTATTATGCCTGTTTTGAGTCTTATTTGACAATATATTATGACGTTAAATCTTATGCATAGTCTTTCTATGACGGGACTGATAATTATTAAGTATAGTATCGTTATATCTAATTTCATGTATTTTATTTGTGTTAATTGATTATAAATGATTTAAAGATTATAGAAATTTGTTTTTCACCAATATAATTAATCTCATGAAGCTTTTTTACCATTTTTCTCTTTTTTTCCATTTCTCTCTTACTTGCCATATTTTTTGCTTCTTCCTTCAAGGTATTTTAATTCTTCCTCTTTTTCTCTATACTTTCTTTGCTTTAATTAACTTTTTTCTATTTCTCAAGGATTATAAGTCTTAGTTTATCAGTTTCATTATTTTTTTTTTTAGCAATTTCTGTATCAATCTGTGTAAAAGCTGTTTCTTATTCTCACGTGATTATTGGTGCTAGTATAATGAGCTGCTGCCTCAAAACTTACCTCAATTTTAAATGTTGGATAGAGAGCCCCAAAATATTTTATCCTACGACACTGTTTTAGACTAGGTGTCCCGTCCTCAAAAGCCGATGTTTTTTTTTTGTTGTTATACCTTGTGACGTAAATTTTGGTCCATTTTTAAAATTTGACAATTTCTAATGGAAAAATGCAGATGTTAGACAATTTAAAAGAATCCACATAAAATCTGACATTCAGAAATTGTATACCTTATATGAGGTAAGTCTTAAGGCAGCATAAGTAGGAAATAATTTTTGAGAAAAGAAATTTGACATAAAGTATGTTTGGTGTATTTTCAAGATCATACAAATTTGGCATTTGTAGGCGATATTAAATAAGAAATTCAATATTGCATTGATCCCGTGGGTACTGCATGACCTTGAAAGTAAAATAAATTCCAATCAAAGGAAATTATTTTGCTTTGCACAAGATTCGCAGAATAGTGAATATGTTTTGTTGGTTGTAATTTCTGGGGGAATTGAAAAATCTAGTCCTTATTTTGTAAGTATTAACGTTTTCTTAAAGAAGAAAGCTCGAAAGGTTTCCTTTCAAATTTGCGGATGAGATTGAATTTAGGATAATAAAATTGTGTGGCTAAACAGTACAAATTAACGTAAGTATAGGTTTTATTTTATTATTATTTTTAACATCTTTTCAGTAAAACGGCTGCGCTTTTATTAACAAAATTGTGGATCTCATTTTGGTAATTTTATTTTCTATATAAATAGTCTCATCCAATTAATTAATAGTACACAGCCAAACGCTGGTATTTTATTCAAATATATATCACTATTCTATCTATTCATTTGAAACAATAATTAGAAGTAGATTTTGTAATTTATTTTACTACATACAATAAACTGCAGAATAAATACAAGAATCTCTTATTTATGAAAAGGTATGTCACCTTTTTCATGAAAATAAGATAATGGCGAAAATCTGTTCTAAAAAGGTGTATCTATTGTTTAATAATGAAATAGTCATTGATAAAAGTGTATTTGTTGTGAAGTCAAGGCTTAAATCATTCCATCTCTAAATCGGCTAGCTATATTTGGCTGTATTGAAAACATGCATAGGAGTATTAGTCTTAAGGTTGGCGTTCGCCCATAGAAATCTGCCGTATATGCGCAGTTGACTTTAAACCAAGCTTTCGTAAAAAATATACCTCCTGTCATAAATTTTAATATTGAAAACAGTTTATAAAGTGTGCCTAGGGGTTGTAAAGACTTCTTAAGAAACGAAGTTGTTCTAAAGAACTCGAAAAATGACTTTGACTTTTGGTATCTAAACCACATATAATACTTAGGAATTTTCTTTAAAACTAAACATATTTACATGTTGTCTTTCCGTACAACCAACACAGAAAAATAATGAAATACATCACACTTTAAAATATTGTTTAATTTTTTTGAAAGCTTGGTTTAAAATTACATACATTTTTTTATGAAAACACAATTGTGTGGTATATCACGTGGCATAGTGAAAAGTTACAAAAGTAAAATCATTTTTAAGATAAACAGTTTTCGAGATATGACCAGACGCCGCCCTTAAAGGGAAATTTTTAATTTTGATTAATTTTTTCAGTAAATATTTAATATCATAGATTTTTTATTCTTTAACAGATATTTATTGTTTTCTAAAGTACCGGGTGTCCAAATAAGACAGGACGCCGGTTGTCGTTGGCTGTACTATATGGCCTATACACTATGAAATTTTGGGAAAAAAAAAATTGTCGACATACTAAAGAAATCGATGGATCTGCCATTGAAGAGAATCTTCTTGCATATTATAAAAGTAATATCCTAATAATAATGGAAAAACTTATAATGGCTATATCTCATATACTATAGATCAGTGGTCGCCAACCTCTCAATATGTTGAGCTACTTTGTTAATTTTGGAATAAACAGCTAGCTACCCACACGGAAGCCACGTAACGCTACGTAAATGAAATAATCCACAGTTAATTTATCATTATATGTATTTATTTTACTATTTAACTGGTAATACATAATACATAGGTACTAATAATAAACTAATAACTAATATTACTAGTACGTACTTGTTCATAGCTACATTACTACCTACCAAACGAAGGTGTTTGAAAAATAAACACAAACTTTTATCCAGCCACAACGGCATGTCACGTAAGATTTAAAAATAGTTAATAATAACAACAAAAAAGTAACGCACTATCATGAACATAAACATTGAAAAATAAAAAAGCACGTTCAATGAGAAGGCTGACACTCAGACTACTCGATAATTTTTTTAATGTTTGCAGTATAATTTGATACAGCCATTCGAATACAATTATCCAAATGTTCATCTGTAAGTCGATTGCGATATTTGTTCTTAATAAACTTCATATTGGAAGAAGAAGATAGAACTGAATATTTGTCTTTACTTACAATAGGCCAGATACATTTGGTACTTGAGACTAACGATTTTAAGGCTAAATCATTTTGAAACTCGTCGCCAAAGTTCTGCATGACACAAGTTGCAAACTGTTGGATATCAATTTACATAAAGGGTGAAACAACAAACGGCGCTACTAAAGCCATTTCGTTGAAATCCTTAAAACGATTTTTGAAGTTATTCTTCAGGGTAGAAACTATTTCTACATGATATTTGCTGTCATAGGGTTCTAATGGATTTTGAGATATTTTTTCTGAAAGAATAGGAAAATGCTTGGTATCGCTGTTAATTAGGTTTTGTTCCCAAAACTCCAGCTTTTTGATAAATGCTTTTATATCAGAAATCATTTCCGCTAGTTCTTTGTCTCTCCCCTGAAGCTGCAAATTAAGTTCGTTTAATTTCTCTGTAATGTCCATGAGAAAACCAAAATCTCTAAGCCAGATTGAATTTTCTAGTTCCGGAGTCGGTTCATCGCGTTGTTTGAAAAATTGAACTATGCCAGATAGGACATCATTAACACGTTTCAGCACCCGTCCTCTACTTAACCATCGGACTTCAGAGTGAAGGAGTAGGTCCCCCTATTGACAGTCAACTTCATCGGCCAAGGTTTTGAATAATCTTTGTAACGCTTGAGCTCTTATCTTGTTCACAATTTTTACCACCAGTTTCATAACGTTGTTTAGTTTCAGGAAATTTCCACATAATGCTTGCTGATGGATAATGCAGTGGTAACAGAGAAATTGCGGAAAAGTTTCATCTTTACGACATAACGCCACCAGACCCTTATCACAACCTACCATAGCTGGAGCGCCATCGGTTGTCAAGCCTACCATTTTCGATATTGGAATTTTCTCGGAAGAAATAATATTTTTTAAATGACAAAACAACTCCTGTCCAGTAGTGTGTCCTTTCAGTGGAATAAACTTCAAAAGATCTTCTTTAATCGTAAAATCATTAAAAACCATCCTGACGAACACGGCCATCTGGGCAGTGTCAACGACATCTGTTGATTCATCCAGTTGAAGTGAAAAATAAACACAGTTATCTAAGTGAGTTCTTAACTGTAAAAAAATATCATTGCTCATTACTTCTACACATCTCATCACTGTATTAGCAGAAAGTTGCATAGATTTTATAGCTGAAACTATCTCGTTTTTATTTCTAAAGTTGGCAAATAACGAATCAGCAGCTTCTAAAAACGCCTGTTTCATCATTTCCCCGTCTTCATAAGGTTTCTTTGTTTGTACAATCATCTGGGACACACGGTACGATGCTTCAGTTGCAGCCTTATTTTTGTCGACTGTTCTTAAAAATATTGATTGTTGTTCAATTAACTGCTTTTTTAACTGTTTCAGTTTCTCCTTTCTGGCGGCAGAATGTAGTGGGAATGATTTTTCAAAATTAGAATGTACAGTTTTATGATGTCTTTCAATATTTCCTTTTTTAGCAACGGAGACCGAAGTATTACATAACAAACACACATTTTTATCTTTAACTTCTGTAAAAAAAGTATTTTTCTTTCAATTCCGAATGAAAGTGGTATGTCTTTACCTTCTTACAACTGCTTGCCATAATATTATTTTTTGTTGTTCTCTACTAACCCAACCGCTGGACCTTGGTTACGCGTTCAGTTTTAAACTAATCGCAATGTCGCCGCGCCGTGCGTATTTATCCCGTTCAAAGCAATCCTGATCGTTCTCGAACACTAACGCGCTGGTCCGGCTGGTCGGTTCTAGCCGATTCTAGTTTGATGGCGTCAGCGGCAGATCGCTCACCGCAACGTTGCCGCTGTTTATGTTTAATATTATGACAATTAGATTTTTTTGTGGAATTTTCGGAAGCTTCTCTGATTTTTGCAGTTTGCATTTTTTAAATTAAAATCGTTGTGAGAGCTACCAGAATTGCCTCCGCGAGCTACCGGTAGCTCGCGATCGACAGGTTGGCGATCACTGCTATAGATGATATCACCAAATGTCTAAAGCCGGTTCTAGGGGAAATTAAATGACAAAATACATAATTTACTTCCCATCAACCCCCCTATTCGCTACCTACATCAACATATATAAATAGCGACTACCTACATTTAAATCATTAAAAAGCTAGTAAAAATTAAAAACACCCTTGAAAAGAAGATGTCATGTTTATCTGAATTTATTTATTTAACACAATTACCCCCAATTAAAATACAAAATGAAAAAAAGTGATAAAAATTTCTTAATCTATACATTAAAAATAAATTTTGTCGTGACTATCTCCCTAGACCAAATATCAGTGATTGTTTCTCTAGAGAAATAGTCAATATTTGGTCTAATGAAATAGTCGTCTCAAATATAACACGACCTTGATTAATATTATGCTATTTTTGTTGCTACATTTCTCGAACATTTTACAATTTGATTCTACATAATTTTGGCATTAACAATCAATTGATTAATGCCATGTATTAGAACAGAAGTAAAAGTTGGAAATGTTTTTGCCAGTTCTCCCACTTTATACACATAAATTGACAGGTTGGCAGCGGATATCACCGAAGTGGACGGGATACATTGGCGTACAAAATTATTTTATAGATGTTAATAACAATTTCGAGTAAATAGTTTAATAAATTGTGAATAGCTGTTGAAATTTTGTAAAATTATAATTTAAATATTATAATACATGTTTAATAATTATTTATAATCCATAAATACATGCGATTGTCCGGTTCCGCCGATAACAATTTAAAATTACTTATTCTATGAAACGACACTGGCAGGTAAACATTACTGTGAAATTCTCGGAGCCGCCCGACGTGGTTTGACGTTTACCCCCTCTCTACCTACCAAAAGACTTTTCAACTTTTACTTTCTGTATATGTATTATCAAATTGGTATTAAAACATTCTCGAGATTTAGATTCAACAAAAATAGCTGACTATTATCAAGGTCTTGGTATATCACCCTTAATTATTTTTTAACCTATATTTTTTGATACCTGGATATGCTGTTTTGAATATTAGACCAGGTGTGATACATTAAAAATGCCTTCTATTTAATTAAACAAAGGGGAAATTTATTTTGTAATCCTCTAAACTTAAATAAGTAGATAAGTAATGCAATAAATAGCAAATAAGTAGCTTAAGCACATTTACGTTTTCCGTAGGTAACTTGTTTTTGGCACATACAGTGTGTCTACTTTGTTGGAACCATATGGAAAACATTTTTATTATTGATTTTAGGAAAAAAAGTTATTCTTGATAAAAAGTCCTGCATGACCCAAAACCTAAAATACAGTCATCACATATCAAATTTTTCAAGCCGTATACGAGGTTTGTCAAAAAATATGCAATTACACCGATCTATCTGAAAAAACAGATTTTCTTATTTTTTATAAACTCTACACTCTACACATTGATTGTAAATATCTGAAAACGTTATAAATTATGTTAGCTACTGTAAACATGATACGCTTTCCTTTTGTTGATGTTTGTGAAGAATTTAGCAAATTTCTTAATGAACATTTTCGATTTTGTAAAAAAATAAACGTACTTTACTCTTGAGCAAAATTCATATTTTTTGACAAACCTCGTATACGGCTTGAAAAATTGATATCTGATGACTGTATTTTAAGTTTTGGGTCATGCAGGACTTTTTATCAAGAATAACTTTTTTTCCTAAAATCAATAATAAAAATGTTTTCCATATGGTTCCAACTTAAGTAGACACACTGTATAAGAGATAAATGTTAAATTGTTAAATAAGTACCTATGTTTTTAAATATTTTTTTTGCCAAGAAGTATAAAATAAATTGTTTTTATTGAGGTGCGTATAGATATAAAGGGCCGGGCTCTGACCAACATCGGGCCTACCACATGCCGGGCCAAATAGGATCGAAGTAGGCCCGTTTGCTTTCCATCGTGTTGTAGATATACGACACTGTACAAATCTGGCGAATTTGGACCCGTTGTTGGCCTGGGCTCCGGCCCGTTATCTCTATAAGCACCTTTATGGTTTAAATTTTTTAATATCATCTTTCATGATATGACCATTGTAAGTTTTTAAATTGCCAACTCCTTTGTATACGTTTTATTTTTGTACCTATTCCAGTTATTATTAAATAAATATCAACAATAAAAACTAACGTTAAAAGATTGCTTTAGTAAAGTCCATCTTACGGTTTTATTATGAAATTAGCCCCAAAAAGGTGAATTTCACTTGTATCTAACACAATACTATCCTATTATGTTGTTGAAAATACATATTTACGACATTTACGTACATTTTTTTTTCTTTGTGATATTTTGATAGTTTGAACAAATTAAATGTTCGTAAAGAAAAATGAAATCAACATGCTATATAAAAGAACAAATATATATTTTCAATAATATTACTGATAAGAACTCGGTAAACTTGGATGCAATGTTCAATCAGAATATTGCATTTCTGCTAAGGACACTTAGTGAGCCTGTGTTGGGTTCAGAAATTTCGTAAACAATCTTATCTGTCTTGGTTATACTCTTACATCTTTTGAGTATACGTGACTTATATCTTTTCATGATTAAACAATAGATACACCTTTTTAGAACAGATTTCCGCCATTATTTCATTTTCATAAAAAAAGGTGATTTATACCCTTTCATAAATAAGCGATTCATATAGAGTGTCCCATAAATATACCGACAAATTTTTAAGGATGATGAGAAGCATCAAAATAAATATGTTTTGCTTAATAAACATATGTTTGAAAATGCTTACCTCATTATGATATCAAAAACAAAAGACTGGGTTTGGAAAAAACAACTATTGGGAGAAAGTACCAAAAAAAAGGAAGATCATGCTCAAAAAGAACAAATAAACAAAATAGGCGTATATAATGGAGACCTATTGTGCGACTGTCACAAGGAACCAGAAGCTGCTTAACATACTGTGCGACTGCAAAACAGTGGATTGCAAAGACAGGCACTTTTTGTTGGACAACCATGGTGAAGTAGAAACGACAAATACTATTTTGCGATATAACAGATGGACGCACTTCGAATGACGGAAAAGTGTAATCAAAATGGCGACTTTCAGTCAATTGTTTTATATTTGAAGGTTGACGGAATGAAACTGTTTTTATATAATTTAAATTAATCTATTTAAAAAAAAAATGGAATTTATTCTCATCAAAACCATATATGTAACCAGTATATTGCCAATATCGTAATCCACTTTTGGCACAAACATGCTTCTCGTTGCGGCACTACTGAGCATGCGCATTGAGTCTTTCAGACGGTGCGACGTCACTAAACAGGGCTGGCTTTATTTTCAACGTTGAAATTATTTTTTGCTTAAATAATTCGGTGTTATGATTTTCACAAAAATATGTTACGTTCAGCATTGGTCTCGCAGATGATTTTAATCAGTAAATAGAAATATAAAGAAATTTAACAGTTATTTAGGTCAATAATCTCTTTTTAAAGAGTACGTTACAAGATATTTCAGCCGCAGAATTTCTAAAAAAATTAAATATTATTTTAATATTTCATTTGAGAATGCCAATTTGCTTATAATGTTAAAAAAATATATAAATTAAGGATAGTTCACAACAATGCAGGTATAGTTAGTCGTAGATAAACTATTAATAAAAGAAACCATATTTTTCACTGCATTGCGATTTTATGCGGTTGGGACCTATCAACGATGTATTGGCCAAGATTTTAATTCTGGGCTTAGCCAAACATCTGTACATAGGTGCATTAACTCTGTCACTCAAGCTTTAACACTTTTAGCCCATCAACACATACAACTTCCCACAACTCCCCAGGAAAGATTAAATTTGAATTTATGGATACATCAAGATTTCCTGGGGCAATAGGAACAGTAGATGGAATACATATTGCCATTTTAAGCACATTAGATGGACATAACTTTATTAACTGCAAACACTTTCAGTCTCTTAATGTACTAATTGTTTGTGATCCCAGTTTGAAAATACGTAGTATTAATGCAAATTATGGTGGATCAACTCATGATTCATTTATATGGAATCGCTCAATAGTTAGAGTTTATGATTAATTTAAATGAACATGAAACTTATTGGTTATTAGGTGATTTTGGGTACCCCCAAGAACCTTTTTTAATGACACCAGTAAGAAATTCCCAGAAAAACAGTGAACATAATTATAACTATGCTCACATAAGAGCTAGAAATTGTGTAGAACGGTGTATTGGGGTTACCACTTTCGCTCGTTGAATATCTACTCATGCTCAACCCGCTGTAACTGAGTTTGATCGAAATTGGTATCACAATCAGACTCCATTATAGACTGGAGTCGAGAATTTCGATTTATTTCTGAAGAGTCCTAATAAGGATGACTTTCTCCTTAGTGGGCAAAATCAAAGGCAGAGGGTTGAAAATATTTTTAGTGTTGAAAATATTTTTTCTCTGCTATTTTCTTTCGACGTTATTCAATAATCATTGGTTACTTATGCACCTCTTCTACTAAAAATACTTATAAAATATTTTGCTGAATATCGAATATCTTCTATATCCTGAGATATAGACGGACATTTGGATATCCATATTAGATCCACTGGATATATTGGATATCCACAAACTATATTCTGTGGATATCTCTGGGATTTCTTGTAGATATTTTGCTGGATATCCATAGGATATCTTCTATATTCTGGATATAGACGGATATTTGGATATCCATATATCCACGAGATATTTCAGATATCCTGTGGATATATTGGATATCGACAAAAGATATTATGTGGATATCTCTGGGATTTGGTGTGTTGTCTGGGTATGTTCTTAAATTCCAACTTGAAACAATGTAAGTCCATTACATCCATTCCTAATAAAAGCTTTGATATCAGCGACAATAACAGAATGAGTTAACTTTTCAGTACCAATGCATAGTTGAATCTGGATTCCACTATGGATGTTGGCACTTTCACCTGTGGCAGTCTGAAGTCGCGACCTTGTTGGTAGAAGTCTCTTGCTGTTATTTATGGTTGTTGGTCGTATAATGGTCCTAGTTGCTCCAGTATCCACCAACAGTGTATACTTTCTACCATTTATTTCGTCGTCTACGTATACACTATCATTGCGACATTTCAAAGAGGGTCTTTGGAACGGTTCCTATTCGAAACTGCGCCCTCTAGGCCTTCCCGCTTTAATGTTCCTGCTGGGTGTTGTCTTGGCTTTTTATAACGCTAGGGCGTTTGCACAAGCTGCGTACATGTCTCAGTTCACTTCATTTTGAGCACCTGATGGTCTTCATCTTCTTGTCAGTAAGTCTCTTCATCATGTTAACCAATTGGTCGAGTTTATCTTCCACTTTTACAGTCCTCATTTTATTGTATCCACCAGAAGTCTGCGTAGCTGCCTCATACTCTAGAGCACCAAGCAAGACATCGACCAATGTTTTGTGACGGGATAAGCGGAGGGTTTTCTCCATCTCATGGTCACAGGTCATATTTTCTGGAGCATACCAACCTGGCAATATCTACTTGGTATTCTTGAAGAGTCTTGTCACGTTTCTGTTTGCGATTCTTTATTTGTGATTGAAACAAAAACTTCCAAGTGTTTGTGGCGATATCGCATGTTTAGTCTCTTTAAGTTGTTCATAAACATTCAACTCTTCCACAGGTAAGTTTTAAAAACATCTAAAATATTCCCTAGAAGAGGAACGATGGTCCAATTTACTGCCTTTTCTCTTAACTACAAAAAAATTTGAAAAATTATGAAAAACCACTTAACCGTACTCTAATAACAAAGCAATAATGATGTTAGTGCAAGGTTGTTGTAGTGTTGTCCTATATTTGTACTGCATTTTTGGTATATTGTACTTTCAATCCCTAATTTTTAATTACTATAGAGGAAAAGTGATATTTTATTCCCTGAAAATGCATAAAATTTATTTTGTAAAATCGAAAGTATTTACACTTTGTGATGAAAAGATAAATAGTGATATATTATCTGTTAATTGTACATTATTAAATTAGATTTCTGATAAAAAATTACAAGAAATAAATGGAATGATATATGCCATAATTTGTTTCGGTAACAAAATTTTAAGGAAACCTTTAAAAAACAACAAACCCTTAAATAAGGACGTATTTAGGGAAAATCGCGTATTCGGCTCGCTAATTTCATTTTTATTTATTGATGTATAACATTCAGAACAACATGGCGCTCTGTAAGAAGCTCCCGAGTTCTTTCTGTCGATAAAAAAAATATTGCTTTAGAAATTAAAGTAATGCATGCCTACAGGGCGTTTAGGAATTATTAATCCAGAAATTTTAGTAATATGGTTTGGTCTACGATTGAACGATTTGCGTTATTATAACAAAAAATGTCAATTACTTACATTTTTTGTGTGTTATCTGTTTGTTATAAAGTAAATTGGTTATTATGTAGAAGGCTAGGTAATATTTTTCTTCCTCATTTCAATAAACATTTTAGGTATTCAAAATGGACATTTTTTTATATCTAAATGATACAATTAGAGATACATATAGAACTTGGCAAATAGCAGAGCTTTAAAAGATATATTACCATTAAAACTATGCAGTCTAAAAAAATGCGGTTGTGTTATTCTAGTTAGAGCTCATATTTAGCTAATTTGTTATAAATTTCGCGAAACTTAAAACACCAAAAATCTATAAAATAGATATATGATTGGATTTTGATAAACCTATACTTGGGTTATAAATACAATTTACATTATGAGAGAAGTCTAAGTTTATCAAAATTTTGCTGATTTATCAGACGAAGAAAACAATGTTTTAAAAATGTGCTTTAATTCAATATTTGTATTTAGATTGTTAAAATTTTATTGGAAATATTTCGAAAAATGCCTTTTTAGGGGATATCTTGCTAATTATTATTTTTTTAATTTTTAATACATGCTAATCAACCAAATTTTCCTTATTTTATTATAGACTACCTATCCTCTCTAAAGCATATTGGATCGTAGTAATTCCTAAGCATCCTGTAAAAATTAAGATTTGATACTTGTGATGACTTTTTTTAGGCACAATTTTTACCGCATTTAATCAATCCAATGTCAGTTAGTATCGAATCTCAAGCTTACATAATTAGTTGAATATTTGTAAATAAATGTTTCTACAATTGTACATTAGTAATAATTCTTTTTTAGAAGTACTGGTGCATAATATGCTCAATGAATTTAATATAAGGTGTTCTAGAAATAATTTGTTTTTTGTTTTTATTGTCCTATCGTTCAAAAAATTATTTTGTTTTGTCTGGTAACATTAAAACAAGATAGATTTTTACTAATTAAAAAATGCCTACGCGCACGTCACTTGATATTATTATTTTTTTTTTTTCAAAGAAATTCGTGATGTAGGATTAACGCAGTTTTTCTGAACCAAAGATTACCGATATTGCCGGCATTTTATTATGTCAGCGAAAGGAGTTTAAGAGGATTTTGCAACCGATCAAAAAAGGCCCTTTTTTGAAATCATAACCACTCAAAAAGTGGTTTAATTGTTCTGAAAATGTTTATGACTCAACTAAGAGTATTAACCTTGAGAGCATTTTTAAATCAATATAGTTTTACACCATTCACCATAAATTTGGCTATTTTGTCATTTGTTTTTTCTTTAACCCTCTGATTGTATTAACAAATATTACATAGAGTTGCGTGCTCTATATTTTTTACGACCATTTATTTACCCTTCAACAGGCTCTCCTGAAGTACTTACAAGAAAGTAATCTTGTATAAACATTTATTTCAGTAAAATAGTTACAAATGGAAAAAATATTAACTTTTTTGCCAGTTTAAAAAAAAATGTGTGCGAACTGTTTTTCTTGAGCCTCCAAAAAAATATTGTGGAATTGTCCTATATTTAAGTGGGAATATAGTTCTCAGCGTGTTCCCAGGGCTTAATAAGTAATTATATTGTTTATTGAAAATAATTAACAGTGATTACAAATATAACTAGAAGATATAATACTTGGCATTCTATGTTATACTATTCAGTTTTATATACCCCCTTTAACCCCCCATTTTTAATCAGATTTTTTTAAAAATTAAATAGTTTTGTAAGAATGGCTTTGTCCTCTTTTAAAACTTTGCTAATCTTTTTTTTTTCGTTTTAAGTTAGGATTATTTTTAAAAAGTCAACCCCCTTTGACTCCCCATTTTTATTCAGATTTTTTTCAGTAGAAAATAAAAGACTACCATGAAGAAATGTATGGCCCTATGTTTGAAAATTGGTTTCAGAACATTATAAAAAAAAATCCAGCCAACACCGTTCTTGTTTTGGATAATGCATCCTATCACAGTCGATTAATGGAGACACTACCTACAACAAGATGGAAAAAAAAAGAAGATATTTCAAAATAGATTCATTCTAAAAATTCATAAAATATATTATAAAGATGATGGCCCGAGAAAAAGGAATTGAAATTCTCAGATTGCCTCCTTAGTGGCTTATTACTGTCAGTATATCCCACTACCTCAAGTTACTTCGTTGGCGAGCGGTCTAAGGCGCGGGTCCGTCGATCGCCAGACTCACCGATCGTGGGTTCTAATCCCGTCTGTTAAAAAAAAAATCCGAACAGGATAATTTTTTCAGGGTGTCTTCGGGACTCTTCTGAGTATACAACCAGAAGATCGCCCTCGAACTCCTGGTACGAATCGCGCTATAGGCGTGGCTTCTTAAACATTTTTTAAGAGCAAACTAGCCTTAATAGTAGTTCTAAATATTTTTTCTGTTTTGTTTCTCTAATACTTTATGAATTTAAAGAAAAACGTATAATTCCCCTAAAATTATTAAGTATTAGCATTAATTAAAAAACGTTGTTCATAATTTGATTCTCTAAAACTTTTATGAAGGTAATTTTGCTCTAAAAAATGTTTATACAACTTTTATTAAAGCTATTTTGCTCTAAAAAAATGTTTGGGAAACCACCCTTATAGCGCAATTCGTACCAGAAATTTGAGTGTGATCTTTTGGTTGAGTATTCAAGGGACAGTCCCTAACAAACCCTGAAAAAATCATGGCTTTTTTGTGACCCCTATAGCCAAACGCATTTTTGTTGGATTAAAATACCTCAAATATTTTATTACTATTACTTTTTTAACGCCAAAGTAAACATTGTGCATGTACCTAAATGTTTACGTTCGATGAAGAAATCTGTAGTTATGTTAAGGAAAGCATACGCTGTGGCCAATAGATAAATTTGCTAAGAATGGCCTATATCAAAATATTGATAGGAATTTCTCGGCATCATTAAGAACTTACACAGATAAAAACAGGTACTGTACAAAAACATTATTTTCACGAAAACTGTTTTGTATTTTTAACGCATCATAAATCAATTTTGCTGTTTTTTTTGGATGTCATGTAATGCCAACATGTGTGGAGGCGGTAGAAAACAACCAGGTTTTTTTAGCGCCGTTAGATATTAATACTCCACTGTGTACACCGTTGTGTAGATAATTTAATGAGCTTTCAAACGATGTGCAACTCTACCCCTATTCCCTATTGAAATTTTAGGAGTTGTTCACTCCACAGCAAGAGGGTTGAAGTAACGGTACTGGAGGAAGGAGAAAATACCCAGACAACACACCAAATCCCAGAGATATCCACAGAATATCTTTTGTGGATATCCAATATATCCACAGGATATCAGAAATATTCCGTGGATCTAATATGGATATCCAAATGTCCGTCTATATCCAGAATATAGAAGATATCCTATGGTTATCCAGCAAAATATCTAATGAGTATCTTCCAGACAATATAAGAAATCCACAGAATATTTTCTGTGGATATCATATATATCCAATATGGATATCCTACCAAATGTCCGTCTATATCCCAGGATATAGAAGAATTCGGATATTCAGCAAAATATTTTATAAGTATCTTTAGTAGAGGTTCATAAGTAACCAATGATTATTGAATAAAGTCGAAAGAAAATAGCAGAGATAAAAAATATTTTCAACACTCTGCCTTTGATTTTGCCCACTAAGGAGAAAGTTATCCTTATTAGGACTCTTCAGCAATAAATGGAAATTCTCGACTCCAGTCTCTAATGGAGTCTGATTGTGAAACAAATTTCGATCGAACTCAATTACGGCGGGTTGAGCATAAGTAAATGCGAAAGTAGTATCGCCATCTATACTTAGTAAGCAAAATCAAAAATTACATCTAGTGGATATCCACGATGGTTTGTGTTCGCGCCTAGACTTTGATATATTTAGTGGATGTCCATGGAATATTGAATACACCTTAAAAAAATTAATTTTAAATATCTGAACGGTACTATTAGCCACAATGGCGTAATTTTTTAATAATTGCTATATAATTACTATTATTTATGGACATTTGCATGTCTATAAATTACATTTCATGGATATAAAATAGATATCTACCATGGACTGGACATTCAGTGGATATTGGGATGTTCAGTAGATATCCAAAGGATTTGGTGTGCTGTCTGGGTATTGACCGCTCCAAACTAAAATCGACTTGTATGAGCGTTTTCTTACTTCTACTATATTATTACCCAAAACCCCTATGTCAAGTTTTCGATGGGCCACCCTGTATTTACACCGTAGGTACTCAAAAGGTTCTTTCGTTCGTCCCACTGGTGTAGGAATGAACTACACCAATGCACACCATACCTTTCGTTTGGCCCGGTGTAAAATCCACTACACCTTCTATCGGCTATTTAGCAGGAGTGAATTACACTATACATTACATCTGCATCAAGAATCAGGACAAGGATTCTTATGCGCGTACTCAACACGTAACGAATCGAAAAGAGGGAGACATTACATACAAATCGCATTCTGTGGAACGAAGATAATCGTCTTAACACGTGCCGTATTAAAAGATGAGGATCCCAATGCAGGAGGAAGTAAACTAGGTAAATAAAGGTGGTGTAATTTACACTGGTGGACATTGCACCAACAGCGAACGAAAGAACCTTATATAATATATCTTCCTGCCAAGTCTTTTTCAATGAAATTCTAACTAAAACTTTATAATACTATTTTATTTGATTTTTCAATTACATATTTTTTACCCTGTAAATATTTCTTTTATATTCATTATTTATTAATAATTAGGTACAACTCAATATTTACTGTGTCCTTAAATCAGTATTCCTACGATATTTTTTTTTAATTAAATGTATTTTTTAATGTATCCTTAATTTTACTTGGCAATCACGCATGCGCGTAAGCTTAGTAAATAAAAAAACAGTAGGCTTTGATTGGGTTTTACATCGAAATGAAAAAAAAACGACGCCATTATTATTTTACAAAGATGTGATGTGCGTGTTCGTGTGTGTTAAAAAATTTATCAAATGAAAACCGAATAAAAGACTATAATAAATGCTTAAATTCCCTTTCTAAATGGTGGTGATGATATGCTTTTACTTTAATTTGTACAAGGTAAGATATGTTTTTTTTCTAACTGGCTATATTCATTCAAATTTGATCACTTAAAAATATATATTTTTTGGAGATTAATAATACATCGTCTTTCATGAAATATTTGTTGTACATAATAAATGAATAATTTGAAGCACAACACTAAGTTTTTTGTATGGTTATAGGTCTAGTACCTAATTGAAAAATTTAATGCGTTTTTTTGATATTAATTGAACTGTCAAAATTTGAAAAATATCAATTTTTGTCGTGGTAATGGTTCTTGTTTGAAAAATCATTTCACGATTTATTGTAAATTGATATGTAGAATTTGTGAAATATGGTCGGTATCCATACGTTTGCGAACTTATTAATGTGAGGTTTAGCAGCGTGGATAAAAATATTTAAAACGCGAAAGAGGAATCAAGTAAAAATGTAATATACAGCCACTATAATATATGTAGTAACTTACCCATACAATTGTGATTTTACCCGTATACTATGTATGAAAGCTACTAAACTTTAAAAAATGTTTTTGGTTCAGGTTGAATTGATTGTATAGGTAGATTTAGTTTGGGTTTTTGATGTTTTTTAAAACTATTTTTTTAAGAATCAATCGTTGTATTTTGAAGCGCTCTCGATTCTTAATTAATAATTTTATATTTAAAAATGGATGTACTCGTGTACTGCAAACTTAATAATCTTTTTTTGCTAGAAAGAGGGTACTTCAGGGGTGGTCCTATATAAATTTAGTTAAAATCTAATAATTGGGTCTCTGAGAAAATCCTCAAACTCTTCA